AGGAAATGTGGTGAGATGATGGAAGGAAAGGTTAGTGATGAGATGTCCTTGAAGACAGAGGAAGGGGCCACAGACAGAGGAACAGAAGAGGCATCTGGAAGCTGGAAAAGGCAACAATATTCTTCCCTAGGACCTCCAGAAGAAATGAGCCCTGCTGCCCATTTTGGACTTCTGACCTCCAGAACCACAACAACTATGTGTTGTTTTAAGGCACTAAATTTGTGGTTACTTGTTATAGTCGCAATAGGAAACGAATCCACCATCTCAGACCTGGCAAGTTCATGGCCTTGTGAGAGGAAAGTACCAAGCTAAAAGGATTTACAGGAAACAGATTGTTTTTTTATCCAATAGTCATAAATTTTTAAAACTTAAATTGGAAGAAAATTAAATCTGAAAACAAAAGTCTGCACTCAGTACTGTCTTAGCATTTTTTGGCTTCTACCTTGCATTGATAGCAATCTTATAATCAAACATGACTCCTAAATCTTTTTATATGAAATTCCTTTAAGCCAGATTTCTAATATTAAAGACTGGGAAAAAGGAGTCAATTTTATAAGTCTCTAATTCAAAAAAGCCACTGATGTGATATTGCATTATTTCCCCTGAAAATTCAAGAATCACACCCACCACATCTTACACTCCCTAATTTTACTTACATCTTACTAACCTAATTTTTTATAATATTGTAAGAAAACTTTTTCTTAAAATATACTTAAATAAGGAAAAAACATCTTAAGGCTTACAAGATGTAGATTCAACCAAGTAATTATCATTGAGATAAAAACTGAATAACTCAGAAGCTTCTTCTGCCCTTTCCTACTCACTAACTCCATCAAAGATGACCACTAGCCAGACTTCTACCACCATATTTAGTTTTGTCTGCTTTTGAACTTCATAAAAATGGAATCATATTGCACCTTATCTTTTAAAGCTTTCTTCTTTTTGCTCAGCTTTGTATTTGTGAAACTCATCCATGTTGCTGTGTGAGGCAATAATTTGTTAATTCTTATCATGGCAGCAATTAGAACTTTTTGCATCCTAATCAATAAACCTTTGTCTCTAGGTCATAAAGCTGTGTTACTTTACCTTCTTCCAGAAGATTTGTTGTTTCAGTTTTCACATTTAGGTGTACGATGTGTCTTGATTTTTGTATATGAGATGAGGTAGATGATCCACATTCATTTTGTCCATACTGAAATCCAATTGAACCCACATCATTTACTGAGAGGGATATCCTCTCTCCACTGCCCTGCAGTGTCACCTTGGTCATAAATCAAAAGACCACATATGTATAAACCTGTTTATGGCTTCTCTACTCAGCTCCATAGTCTGTCTAGTCTGGTTCCAATACCACACTGACATAACTGCATACCGATCTAGTAGCTTAAGTCCTCCAATTTTGCTCTGCCTAGTCTAGAATTTCCAATAAGTTTTAGAATCAGCTTATCAATTTCTATTTTTGAAACAAAAATCTGCTGAGATTTTGATTGGGATTGCACTGGCTCTATAGATGGACTGGCAGAGTAATAACATACGCTTCACTACTTTGAATCTTATTTAATTTACTTCAATGTTTCAGCTTGCAAAGAGTTTTTATCACAAGTGTTGAGCTTTAATACATAATTCTTCTCTTCTACTGTGTGAGGTTAAATTACATTTGTTGATTTTCTAACGTCAGTCAAAGTTTACTTTCCTGAAATAAATCCAACTTGGTATTGATTTATTGTCCTTTTTATAAATTGCTAGATTTGATTTAGCGATACATTGTTTTAAGCCTTCTGTATCTTTATTTATAAGCATTTGGCCTACAATATTCTTGTAATATCCTTATCAAGCTTTTGATAACAAGGTCATGCTGGCTGCATAAATGCAACCGAGGAGTAGACCCTCTTCCTTGTTTTTTTTAATGATTAGAAAATTTCATCAGTAAAGTCATCTGGGTCTGAGAATTTATGAAAATAAATTTTTGCTATGAAAATATTTTTAACTTCAAATTCAATTTCTTTAATAGATATAAGACTATTCAGACTTTCTAGTTCTCATGTCTTATGTAAGACATTTTATTTTTTAAAAAACAAGTCCATTTCATTTGAATTTTCAAATGTTTTTCCATAAAATTGTTCATAATAACATCTTAAGATCTTCCAAATGTCTGTTAGATATGTAGTGATAACTCCATTTTCTTCCATTAATACCATTCACCACTAAGGTTCATTTCTACCCACCTAAGATTCATTTCCACCCACAAAAAAAAAAAAAGGTTGGGGTGCACTATATGACACTTACCCTTTATCTCAGGGATATTATCTCTTGAGTATTACCCACAGAAGGAGCAGGGCAGGTAGAATACATGAACAATCCAGCAATTTTTTCTCAAAAGCTTTTATCACCAGAAACAACTGAGAATCTGAGCAAAAGGAGACACTAACTAAAGGCGGAGAAACAGGCTAGGGTGGCCACCAAGAACTTAGTAGAAAAACAACCACGAAGCAGGGAGGTGACCTAGGATCCCCAGCCTGCCACCCTCAACAGAATTTAGGAGCTTATTACATATTTTTTTATCACACATTCTTATTTTCATAAATCTTCAACTGAAAATCAGTATTTTGCTGAATTATAAATGTAGACAACAAATCATAGTAGGAAGCGCTGTTCTGATGACTTTGTCACTAATAAAAGTCACAGATATTTCCATATCTCACTACAGCTGCTGGAAATACTGCAAAATATCATTTACATAGGCATCACTATTTTGAAATTACAGCCACTATTTGCTGCAACATTTAATTTCATTACTTAATGCCTTAATAAAGAAGCACATATCAAATGCATCATAAATTTGGTGGATTTGTTTGGTTTGTTTTTAGAGACAAGGACTTACTCTGTCATCCAGGCTGGAGTGCAGTGTTTGTTTTGTTTTTAGAGGCAGGATCTTGCTCTGTTGCCCAGGTTGGAGTGCAGTAGTGCTAGCATAGCTCACTGTAGCCTCAAATTCTTGGGCTCAGGCGACCCTCTCACCTGAGCTCCCTGAGTAGGTGGGGCTACAGGTATGCACCACCATGCTTGGCTAATTATTCGTAGAAACTGGACCTCGCTATGTTGCCTAGGCTGGTCTCAAACTCCTGGCCTCAAGCAATCCTTCAACACTGGTATTATAGGCATGAGCCATCATGTCCAACCATAAGCTGGATTTTTAAAATACTATTTTGAAGCTGAGTATGGCAGCTCATGCCTGTAATCCCAGCACTTTGGGAGGCCGAGATGGGAGGACCACTTGAGCCTAGGAGCTTGAGATCAGCCTGAGCAACACAGTGAGACTTTGTTTCCACAATAAAATAAAATAAAATTAGCCAGGCATGGTGGTATATGCCTATAGTCCCAGCTACTAGGGAAGCTGAGATGGAAGGATTGCCTGAGCCCAGGAGGTCAAGGCTGTGCTGTGGTGAGACATGATCACGCCACAGTACTACAACCCGGGCGACAGAGTGACACTCCAATTCAAATTAATAAATTAATTAAACAAACAAATAAAATACTGTTGTGATAACCTTGTTTCATTTCACTTATAACCCTATGTATTTTTATGCCTTTTAAAACCTTGACTTCCCCAGACCCCAAAAGAGGTCCATGGCACAAAAAAGGTTAAGAACCTCCCAAAAGAATCAAGGATCTCACCCTTGGTAGGGAAATACAATGCAACTTAAGGAGCATTTTTTTCCTGGGCCAGGCTCTGAGCTGGAAGCTGGAGGCCCATGCTGATTAGTTTCTGATGTTATCAACAAAGCTCCTACCAACATCTAGCCATCCACAAAATGATTGCTCCCTCCAGAGTCTCACCCTTCACCCTGGTTGGATGCATCTAACTTACTTCCCGAGGTGATGGCAAAGTAAGCAGTAGATAAAGCACAGGCTTTGATCCAAAAGAGGAGGCCTGATATGTACTAGTTTGTAGTTTTGTCCCCCACCCCAAGGCTTTCTCCATCCCCTTGTGAAAAGGGACAACACTACTCATCTTTCCCCATTACTATAAGGTTTAGAAACAATGTATCTGAAGCACCTGACAAGCACACCGTCTCCTTAAGCATTAATTGACTCTCTCAGGTCAGAACTGTCCTTATCCAGCACTTAATCACAGTTAAGGACTGCCAGCCAGAAAGGAGGGAGGAAAATCATAGGGAAGATGAAATATGAAGAATGGAAGGAAAAAAAATCATTCTTCATTGTCCAGCATAAAAACCACTGCCTCTTCAATGAAGCCTTCCCGCTCTCCTCCCTTTGTGTTTCCATAGCACTTAATCACATTGAATGAACGAATGAAAGAATGATAAATACAAAACAGAAAGGGTCAGAAACAATGAGTCTCCCCCCCCCGCCCCATATATAACGTACACCATCGAGGAAACCAATCCTCCAGCCCGGCAGTCCTGATCCAAGAGCAGTGAACCCAGAAGGCAGCCACCCTTGCTTCCTTTGGTGAGGATTTGGGTGACCGGGGCTTTTCCACATAAAAACGGTGTCACCTGAAGGCTAGACTCAAAAGAGATGAGGGAAACGGAGTCCCAAGAGTAGAAAGCTAAGAAAATCTCTAACTTTGGGGTCCCTGGAGTCACAGCAGTCAGGCAGGCGCACCTCTAATACTGCCAAGGGGACCAGAGTTCGCAATTCCCCGCGGCAGTGCCGGAAACTGGGGACGAAGCAAGGAGCGAGGACGCGGGCAGGGGCGTGCGTGGACTGGGCCTGGCGGCTGGGAACCTGGGTCACGGCACCGGGATCTCAGGCTCTGCCCGGGCGCACCGCGCGCGCGACCCCTGCCGCCTTTGTCTCCTCCACCCGACCGGGAACTTCCTCTGTCCCGCCCTCGGGCGCGCACACGGGTAGGAAACGGAAAGCGTCTTGTGCATTTCTTTCTCTCTCTCTTTTTTTTTTTTAGCAGAGTAAATCGAATCAAAAAAGTCAGCACCTAACCTCCCCGGGAACCCCTACAGTCACCAGCTACCAACCTCCGGGCTGTCCCGGGCGGCGGCGACGGCGACGTTCTCGCGCGCCACGGGTCCCCAGCACCCTTCTCTCGGGCACTTCCGAGCCCCGGCGGCAGCAGCGGCGGCTGCGGGCTTCCCCCGGACGCCGCCCTCTTTCCCCGGGAGCTGCCCCCTGGAGGCGCAGCCTCGCGCGCGTCCTCGGAGCGCGCTCCCGCCACCGTGCCCGCGCGCCCTGCGAGCCCTGCGCTCCCGGCGGCCGGACTGGGGAGCTCGCGGCGCCCGGGGGCGGTGTCGAGAAGGCCGCGCTGCAGAGAGGGCGACTTGCCGCTCCGCACCGTGTCTGTCTCGCCAGCGGCCTGGGAGGACCGATTCCGCTCGCCCCTTCGCTCCCAGCTCTTTCGCTGAGCCTGGCACGCGGGCCTCTTTATCTCCCGGGTCGGATATTGCAGGTCTGCAGCCGTCTGCAGGTTAATTGCAGGGCAGAAGTCATCTGCAACTCCAGGTGGGCCGTCCACCTACACCGTGGTCCCCACGTACGTTTAACTGTAGACAAAAGGAGTAGCTTGGTGCGTTGGGGAAAAGGCGGACTTTGCAGCCCTGGCAGCTTTGCTGGCTTGCTGTGTGAATTTAGCTTGACCCCTGTGAGCCGGCCCTCCCTGTGCGTCTCTCTTAAACAGAAATATGCTTACCCGCTTTTCCTCACAAATGAAAGATCAAAGGGATGAACTTTCTGAATGGTAAAGCAATTTACAGGGACCACACTGCAAAGTGGACACCAAAGATGCTGAATGCGTTGTAAAAAGGTCCAACAGGGTGCAGTGAAGAGGGTGACTTTCTGCGGAGTGTTGCTGCTCCGGGGCCTCCAATCCTGAGCCAAGGGACAGACACATACATACCAGAACTCTACAGATACAGGCCGGGCGCGGTGGCTCAAGCCTGTAATCCCAGCACTTTGGGAGGCCGAGGTGAGAGGATTGCCTAAACTTAGGTGTTCAAGACCAGCCTGGGCAACTTGGTGAGACCTCGTCTCTACAATAAACAAATAAGCCGAAGGTGGTAGAGCGTGCCTGTAATTTCAGCTGCTTGGAAAGCTGAGGCAGAAGGGTCGCCTGAGCCCAGCAGGTCGAGGCTTCAGTGGCTGTGAGCATACCACTGCACTCCAGCCTGGGCGACAAGAATGAGACTCCAACTCAAAAAAGAAAAAGCATCTAGCAGTCGTTGTAATGGTCCAGGGGATTTTTTTTTTTTTTCTTTCTCTTTTTCTTTTTGAGTTGGAGTCTCACTCTGTCACCCAG